TTTCTGCTGGGTCTGTTGTAATTTCACCCTTTTCATTCCTAATTGCATGGATTTGGACCTTTTCTTTCCTTTCTCTGATAAGGTTTGCTAAGGGTTTGTTAATTTTGTTTATTCTTTCAAAGAACCAACTCTTGGCTTCATTAATTTTTTTGTACTGTTCTCTTAGTCCCCATTGAATTCATTTCTGCTCTGATGTTTATAATTTCCTATTTTGCATGAGCTTTGGGTTTGTCGTGCTCTTTTTTTTCTAGAAGTTTGAGTTTCAGCATCAGGTTGTTTAATTGGGCTTTCTCTGTTTTCCTAATATGGGAATTCACTTCTATGAATTTACCTCATTAGACTGCTTTCATTATTTCCCATAGATTCTGATATGTTGTATTGTCATTGTCATTTAACTGAAGGAACTGTCTGATTTCTTCTTTTATTTCCTCTATGACCCATTGGTTATTCAGAAGTGCGTTGTTCAATTTGCATGTGTTTATGAAATTTTTGTGGTTTGTTTTGCTATGGATCTCCAATTTCATCACACTATGGCCTGATTATATGCAGGGGATAACTTCAATTTTTTTGCACTTACTTAATCATGTTCTATGAGTGAGTATGTGGTCTATTTTGGATTATGACCTATGTGCAACTGAAAAAAATGTGTATTGTCATTTTGCAGGGTGGAATACTCTGTAAACATCTGTTAAATTCATTTGTTGAAGAGTTCAATTGAGTTCTACTATTTCATTACTTATTTTTAGTCTAGTTGATCTATCTATTTGTGACAGTGGGGTATTGTGGTCCCCCACTACAATTGTATTACTGCATATATGACATTACATGTCCATTGGTATGTATTTGTTTTATATAGCTGGGTGCATTAGTGTTTGGTGCATATATATTTTATGTTTGTCATCTCTTCATCTTGGATTGTTCCCTTTATAAGGATGTAGTGTCCTTCTATGTTTCTCTTAATCCATGTTGGTTTGAAATCTAATTGGTCTGCAAAGAGGATAGGTACTCCTGCTTTTTTTCAGGTTCCCATTGCATGGAGTATTGTTTTCCACCCTTTTACTTTCAGTCTATGAGTTTCATTTTGAATTAAGTGTGTTTCTCATATGCAACGTATTGTTGGATTTTGCTTCTTGACCCATTCTGCCAGTCTCTTTCTTTTGATTGGTGAATTGAGTCCATTAACATTGATGCTTATAAGTGATGCACATTAACTTATCATTGTCATGATTTTTTCTTTTTGTTGGATTCTCCCCCTTTACATTTAATTTCTTGTTGCACCCGATGCATTCATTCTGCTGTGCTTCCTGGAGTTGTGATTCTCATTGTCTGTTCCTAGGATACTGTCTAAAAATTTTTGGAGTGCTGGTTTGTTATTCATGAAGTTCCTAAGGTGCTCTTTTTCATCAAAGTATCTTATTTTTCCATCAATTTTGAAAGACGGTTTTGCAGGGTACATCAATTGGGTTGGGGGCTCTTTTCCTTTAGGACTTGGAATACATCACTCCAAGCTCTCCTTGCCTTGAGGGTTTGCATTGAGAAGTCTGCTATGATTCTGATGGGCTTTCCTTTGTATGTGATTTGTTTCTTTTCTCTAACTGCTTGTAGAACTTTAT